TCTCCTTTGGAGGTCCAGCTGTTCCCACCTTCTGCTAAGCAAAGGTTTTGCTTTTGGAAGGGGGCAGTTTTTATCCTGCTAACTAAAACTTATTTCCTTTTGAGAGGCTTACCAGGTTCAGGCTGCTGTGACACAATACCATAGACTGGGTGACTTATAAACCACAGGACTTTGTTTCTCACAGTCATGGAAGCTGGGAAGTTTGAGATCAAAACTCTAGCAGAATCGGTGTCTGGTTGAGGCCTACTTCATAGTTATTACAGTTCTTACTGTAACCTCACTTGGCAGAAGGGGCAGGAGAACTCTCTGGGGTCTCATTTATAAGGGTACTAGCCCTATTATAATGTAGTCACCTCTCAAAAAACCTGCCTCCAAATACCATATTTGGATTAGGTTTCAACATATGAATTTTGGGGTCTATAGCACTATTGTACCAGGTATATCTTTATTTCAGCAGATAGTTTGACCACATCTCCCTTGCAGTCTATCTGTGGACAAGGAGGAAATAGATATATGAGCATGTTGGTGATCTGCATAGATGAAATTGAATTGCCTCAAGCAACTCCACCCAGAATGTAGATAAATTGATTGGTGTCAGCCTAAAGGCTTATGCATAGGCAGTCCTCAGCTCTGTCCTTCTGGATCTTTATCAACAACTTGGAAAAAGACCTAAGAATATATATAGAACTACAAAATCGAGTTATAAAATTATTGGACTAAGGTAATCAGATGGAATTTATTAGGGCTAAATGTAACTTCTGATATATAGATTGACCAAACTATATGGGGAAAATGGAAATATACTTTAACTCATGTTTTTAAAAAAGACAACACAAAGTTCAGGGTTTTGGTGACCTAAGCTTCATACTTTCTAGCATTGTATAATGTGATTATTTAAAAAAAAAAAATCTTTGGCTGCATCTAGTAAAAGTAAGATGTCCTGAAATGTGGGGATAATGATCCCACTGAATAGCCATAATACTGGAAATCTTGTGGTGGGTTTTGGATTTCACATTTTTAGAATGTAGAATGTAGACAAAGCTGAGTGCTGACAGAGTGATGTGTCTCTCAGCCAGAGCTTATGAGGGCTCGTTGAAGGAATGTTTTACTTGGTTGATAATTACAGCTGTTTCTAGCTATGTTCCATAAATGACAAGCCTGTTTACTAAGATGTGTTTTACATTCAAAATGATCTGCTTTGTGCCAAGTAAATGTTAACTATAGCGCTCTCTCCAGCTCTTTGAAATAGGTGTTATCATTCACTTTTATAGATGAGAAATTGAGTAATCAGAATATTTTTAAAAAGTGCACAGCTTATCTATACAATTAATGAAAGGTGGAGCTGGGATTTAAAGTCTGCCATTTCAGTTATAGCATACTGCCTCTGGTGTGAGCATGCAGTGAGGCTGGGAGTGGCGGTGACTTCTGCTTTTGAGCAGGCTAATTCCTGAAAGGCTATTCGTAAGTCCCATTTGTTCATAACCCCAAAATGATACTGCGTAGTAATAAGATACTCAAATGCCAGATACTTTTCTAGACTCTTTGCATGCACTTTATTTAATTCTCATAACTCAGTGAAGAAGTTGCCGTTATTATCTCCAATTGCACTTGAGGAAACTGAGGCAGGAGGAATAAGTAAAGGACTCAGAATTTGAACCAGATTGTCCAGCTGCAGAGCACACTTTTAACCACTGTCCTATCTTAGCCTTATGCAATGAAAAGAGTACAAAGTTTTCAAAAAGAGAGAGTGGTAATTCTTTATAAAATTGGTTCAAAGTTCTCATTTTCAACTCTTTTATATATAGGCTTTTAAATTTTCATTTTAAAATTATTTTCTATATAATTGGTATATAATATTATGTTTCAGGTGGTGAATATAGTGATTTGAGTTGTTTAAAAAGATTTTATTTATTTATTTTTAGAGAGAGGGGAAGGGAAGGAGAGAGGGAGAGAAACATCAATTTGTGGTTGCCTTTCGCGTGCCACCCACAAGGACCTAGCCTGCAACCCAGGCATGTGCCCTGACTGGGAATCAAATCAGCAACTGGGGTTCACAGGCCAGCACTCAGTCCACTCAGCCACACCAGCCAGGGCTGATTTGATGTTTTTATGCCTTACAATGTGATCACTCCACTGATTCTAATAATCATCTGTCACTGTGCAAACCTATCACAATATTACGAACTATATTCCCATTTACCTTTTTCACTCATCCCTGTTTCCCTCCGCTCCAGCAACCGTCCCTTTGCCCTCCATTTCTATGAGTCTGTTTTTGGTTTGGTTTTTCTTTTTCTTTCTTTTTAAGATTTGTATTAAGTGAAACTATAGTGTTTATCTTTCTCTTACTTATTTCACTTAGCATAATATCCTCTGGATCCATCCATGTTGGAAATGACAAGATTTTGTTCTTTATTGCTTCGTAATAGTTCATTGTTTATATATACCACATCTAGTTTATCCATTCATTATAATGGTGGACACTGAGGTTGCTTCCATGTCATGGCTATTGTAATTAATGCTGCAGTGAAAATAGGGGTGCATATATCTTTTGGAATTAGTGTTTTCATTTTCTTAGGATAAATACTTAGAAATGGAAAGGCTGGGTTGTATGGTAGGTCTATTTTTAGGTTTTTGAGGAATCTCCAAACTGTTTTTCATAGTGGCTTCACCAATTTACGGTCCCACCAACAGTACAAAAGGGTTCCCTTTACTCCATATCCTCTGGTGTGAGGTGGTATCTCATTATGGTTTTGATTTACATTTCCCTCATGATTCGTGATGTTGAACATCTTTTCTTATGTCCGTTGGCCATCTGTATGTGTTCTTTGGAGAAATGTCTCCTCATGTCCATGTCCGATTTTTGGATTAGGTTTTTCATTTTTTTTGGTTATTGAGTTGTATGAGATCCTTGTATATTATGGATATCAACCCTTTATTGGATATATCATTTGCAAATATATTCTTTCATTTGGAAGGTTGTCTTTTTTGTTTTGTTGATGGTTTCCTTTGTTGTGGAGAAGCTTTTTAGTTTGATGAAGTCCCGTTCATCTTTGCTTTTGTTTTCCTTGCTTGAGGGGACATACCCAAAAACATATTTACTGAGACCGATGTCGAATAGTTTACTACCTGTTTTCTCCTAGGAGTTCTGTGGTTTCAGGCCTTATATTTAAGTCTAATTGATTTTGAGCTTATTTTTGTATATGGTGTAAGAGAGTTGGTCAGTTTCATTTTTTTCATGTATCTGTCCAGTTTTCCCATCACCACTTGCCTAAGATCATCCTCAGTTTTTAAATTTTTTTAAAATTCAAAGATGTTTGCATCTTAACATTCTTCTTTTGTATTATAAATAATTTTATTACAGATCTGGGCTTCAAATACAATTCAAAGGATGGCTGAGTTTACTTGAACTTGACTGCTTTAGTCCTCAGGTTGTGGCAGTCAGTTATGCTTTTTGATTTATACCTTAGCTTTGTTTACACAGTGGCAAGTGGAGTTGCCTGGAATGATTTTTGAAATGCTGTCATAGGGAAAAGGAATTGTTAGATTGAGTCGTATGAAATGGTCAATATTTACCCTTTTTAGTCCTACAAAAATGGCAAATTCATATCTTTTACCCTAATAGACCCAAGAGGAGGAAATTTGAGAGAAACTACTCGTTATTTGGTTTTAAGAAATAATTTTAGGATATCTCAGAAGTGTGAGTTCTTAGTTTCTCTCCTGACATGCTTGTCCTACGCTATTACTCTGAGAAGTATGTATTCCATTTTACTTCATGTAATTACTTTTTCTTCTCTTAACCACATCTAACTGATTTGCGCCTTTTATATCTGTCAGGGATGGAAAGTGATTTTAAGGAGTTCTGCTTTGGGGAGAGGGGTGTGTATGTGTGTATGTGCATAATTTTTTACTTGTTTAAATTGCCTATATAACAGTATCCATAAGATCATCAAGCCTACCAGTTTTGCAGTCATACCCCAGTGCTACAGTAGAGCATAATTTAGATTGAGTTTAAGAATTTTAAAATTTATTTTGATTATGGAATGGACTTCAAAAAGTAATCATAGTATTTACCAAAGTTTCAGCACAGTCTCTGCTCCTAATTGAACTTGTATCATTGCATTTAGGAAAAATTCGACTCACTCAAGAAAGCTTATTTTTTGGTGACCTGTTCTGTAGAGAAATGAGTTGAGTTGAAGGTGATTGCTTTCATCTGAAGGAGGGCACTATTAAGGGAGTCTTCAATAAGCTGATTTTCTAATACACATGAAGGCCTTGTGACAGCTTTACTTTTTGCCATTGATATATGAGACCATTGCCTTGCTCTCTGTTTGGTTTGGTGGGGGGGGGGGGGGTTCAAACTTTTTCTCTTGAATTTGATCATTGAGCTCTCCTAGTTCTCCTCATGCCTCTGCAGATTCATTCAGTTGGTTGTTTTTTATAGTCTTTGAGTCCTTTTGATTAAACCAAGTACATGGTAGTGAAATCTCAAAACTGCTCAATAAATACTAAAACCTTTGTAACAGTTACACTTTCCTTATGCAAAAACTGTTGTAAGATCCCTTTGGTGTATAAAGAAATCCCCCCAGAATAATCACCAGTTCTGTCCACATGCAGACCTCCTGTCCTGTAATGGTGGTGAGTCTGAATCTAGTCTAGGTCATCAGTAACAAGTGATGGGTTGGGATCCAGACTTTTGTTTTTAGGATTTTCACTTGTTCTTTCCCCAAAGTCTGGAACCCTGAGACCTTCTAGGGCAGCTTCAGAAAGAAAACCCAAACATGGTGCTCTCTTTTTTCAAAAGGAGAATCACAGTTGAGTCTCTGTTATTTACCCTAAGGTTGTATTTATTCTCACTGAACAGTAATCTTTGGGAGGTAATGGCAGTCCGAGTTACATATGCATGCTACTTTCACTTTCTATTACCAAGTGTTAATGTGTGTATTGTAATAACTAGGCTAAGCACAAGGGATCTTTGTGTGTGTGTTTTTTTTTTCTTTCAGTAACAAATGCTTTTAAGAAAACAGATGATTTGGTGACATCTAAAGCACCAGCTGTCGACTTTGACCACAAATTTAGGTGCAAGGTTGTAGATTGTTTAAAATTTTTCCGCAAAGCCAAACTGTTGCACTATCACATGAAGTATTTCCATGGAATGGAGAAGTCTCCGGAGCCAGAGGAGAGCCCAGGAAAGAGGCATGTCCAAACACGGGGCTCTTCAGCTTCAGACAAGGCCACCCAGGAGAACCTGACCAGGAAGCGAGTGTCTGCCAGCTCCCCAAGTGAGTATTTTCCTTCTGTGATGTATCTGTATCACAGAGGGCTCTGCTGCTCAGAGGGTCACAGTGCTTGCATTTCCACCACAGAAAGCAGGTGTTGGTCTGGTCTGGTTGAATCCCAAAAGGTTGAAAATGACAAGTGATCCTCAGGGGTTACAGTATGGAGCTGCAGCCCCCCCTAAGGAAGCAGAAATACCTGACTCTCATTCTTACTCAGCCTTTTGCTGTTCAAATTACCTTGAGAAAGTCACTTAGCCTCAGAAGGCCTCAGCACTCCCGCTATGAAGTGGGGACAGTCGAGGTAAGGGAACTCCTTCCAGAGCTAGCAGAACTTGTGCTCAGAACAGCATGGGTGCCATCATCCCAACCCCCATTCCTGCCTGTAGGACAAAGGAACAAAAGAACTAAAAGGTGCTATGTGGCCCTGGCCGGGTAGCTCCTTTGGTTAGAGCATAGTCCGGATAGGTCACGGTTGTGGGTTCGATCCCCAGTCAAGACACATACAAAAAGCAGCCAGTGAATGCATAAATAAGAGGAACAACAAAAATCAATGTTTCTCTCTCTCTCTCTCTTTTCTCTCCATCCCCACTTCTCTCTCTATAAAATCAATACATTAAAAAAAATTAAAAGGTGGTATGTGATTTTCCTATTGTGTCAAAATTTGAGTCTGATTTCATCATAATTGTGACTGAAGATATTTCTCTATAGCATACTTTATTTTACATAGAAACTACAATGGTGGTAGTAAGGGTTACCATAAAACCTCATGTTCATGTTTTATTACAGAGAACCTTTTTGGAGAGTTCTTCTGAAACTTACAAAAATGGAAAAATTACATGTTTCTGGGGAATTACAGGAAAATTAATGAGTTTCCAGTAAATTTGACGAGCTTCCCAGCTTCTTTCTACCTAAAACTGTAACATTATTGTATATTTTTGGCTTATAGCTTCTCCATTAAAATACATATGTATTAGATGGCAAGTGAAAGTCCTGAGACACCTGGCAGCATTTATAAAAATCAGCTTTCAGGACATAGGGCAGGGCCATGCAGACTCAGGTCATCTCTGACCCTATGTGTGAAACCAATAGACAGTTGTTGCCATTTGGTATAATTAAGGAAACTGAGTGATTGAGTCTCTACTTTTATTTACTGCCCTTTGATCTCATACTAGTGTAGATCATATTAACGTAGATAAGTTTCATGACTTTAAGTGAAACAATGTATAATAAAGCCATTTTTTACCATAGACTTACTGATCTAAATAAGAGTTAAGGCCTGCTGCTGTCACTAATCAGCAGGAGCCTCAGTTATTATCAGCTGTGAACCGGGGTCAGTGAACGTGTTCATGCTGCTGGCTGTCAGTGAGAGCAAACACAGCAGGGTATTCAGAAGATTGCACAGGCCCCAGAGCTCCAGAAGGCCCCTCCCCGCTTCCAGGCATCTCTCACTTTTTCCCCATTAAAGCCTCTGTCCATTTCCTCATGGTTTTGCTCATATTTGACTAATCTGATAGCTAAATTTCTTAGGATTTGGAGGAATAAAACCAACCTATTAGCTCACCTGTTCTCTTGGCATATCTAGGTTTTACCCCAGACTTCTAAGAAAGCCCTTATCTTTAGGAATAGGATTTCAGACATTTGAGGGGAGTTCAGCTGGGGAGATATTTCAAGGTGAGATCTGACACCAGGTAACCTATGTCCTAGGTCACAGGCAATGTGAACTTGACATTATGCTTAAGTGGAAAACAGAATATTAAAGGATTTGTGGTGCTTGGGGATAATTCCTGTAAAAAAGTACCCTCGTTATGCTGAGTGTGCTGATTATATTAAATGGAAACATGGGTTCTAATGGATTTCTCAGATGGAGATTCCTGGGACTTCTAGTCCATCAGGACCAGAAGACTGCAGCAATTGTGTGTTTTTTTTTTGTTGGGGCCCTCAGTTTTTCTGCTGGTAATGTTGAGCAGGAGAAGCAGTCCTGCTCTGACAGTCCAGAGACTGAATCTTGGCCACTTGTCTTGTGCTCTGAGCTCTTCACAGATCTGATTTCCTCATTTCTGAAGTAATGATGTAGGACCTTTCACGTGGGAAGAAAAGCACATAAACAGATACAGTGAAAAGGCTAAGTCCTATATTGGGGACATATAAAGTGCTGTGGCAACACAGATTCAGATTTTGCCTGTAGAGCAGGGTGGGATGTTGAGAATAGGTTACATTTGAGTTACGCCTTAAAGGATGAGGGTAGGTAAGGGTTGGACCAGTAGGCAGGAGAATAGGAAAGGCATCCCGGTGCTGAGAACAAGCAGAGCAAAGGTTTAGAGGCATCGAGGCCAACAAACTGTCATGATAGTCTGTTCTTGAGGTGGCCTTTTGACTCTCGCCTTCAGATGTTTCCTTGTCTCTCAGTGAGGCCTTTAGTCTCACAAGGGAAATTAGATGCTCAATTTAAATTTGCTTTTCCAAATGAGATTTCTCGTAATACCAGAATCCATTTAATAAATTCTCTTCAGGGGCAAGTTCAGGCTTCCTTGGTATTTGGGCTTATTTCTCCGTAGGTGAGTTCAGTCCTGAGTAGAGATTTGGTTCACAAAGAATACTCTAAGATCAAGGGGAAACTTTTGGTTTATGTCTTCACACTGGATAATCTTAGTTTAGGGCTGAAACGAGCCTTGGGGCAGTGGGCACTTCTTCGTTGCAGTCTGCACAGGCCTTCTCACAGGGGCATGCACTTCCTCCTTTAAAGGAAGAGGGCAGTGTGAACTTAATTAGGGTATTGATTACTATGTCAAAGTAGTTGGCTTAAACAAGACAGGTTTATTTCCTTTTCTGGTCAGACTGGAAGTTCCCACATGAAATGGTCCAGGGCCAGCCTTCTTCGCGGTGTTCCTCAAAGTTCACCTGAGGTTAAGGTGTTGCTCTCCTCTGCATAGTCCACTATTGCTTACCACTATTGCCTGTCTTTCAGCTGCTGGGAAGGGAAAGGAAGGACGTGCCTCTTCTTTTAAAGGCACAATTCAGAAGTAGCACACTTCTCTTCATATTTCGAACATCTGTCCCTGGCTATACCTCTGTCAGGGGAAGCTGGAAAATGTACTCTTTTCCTATAGAATAAGTGGAGAAAAAAGTATTGGAGAATGCACAGCAGTCTCTATCATATGAGCTAAGGCAGAAGAACATAGGGCTTGAGGGAAGGACTTATTTGAGGACCGTTTTGGACCAATGTCTGGGTGGTATCCATAGTAAGGGATTGATGGGAGGGGAGCCTGGGAAAGTAGACATGGTATGTCCCGGCCAGGTGACTCGGTTGGAGTGTCATCCCATATATCAAAAGGTTGTGGTGGGTTCAATTTCCAATCAGCACACATACCTAGGTTGCAGGTTTGATCCCTGGTCAGGGTGCCTATGAGGGCAACCAATTGATGTTTCTCTTTCACATTGATATTTCTCTCTTCTTACCTGTCTTTCTAAAATCAATAAACATATTCTCAGGTGAGGATATTTTAAAAATGTTGACGTGGTGAAGTGATGGTGTTAGGCCACAAGTATCACTTCTCTGATAGGCAGTGAAGTCTCTCTTAAGAGCATACCCATTTCTACTCTGCCCTTGAGCTGCCATTCCCTTGTGCAGGTCAGAACATGCTGTGGTCACTGCTTGTGTGAGCTGCTCTGCGGTGACCAAGCAGTTCTTCCATAGGTGAGGGTGATGTTATTCTTTCCTGTTCCCTTCAGGAAGCAGCAGTTTGATGCCAAGCAGCCGTCTGATACCCTTCTGTCTTAACTCAGTGACGATCTGATGGACAAATAGGGAGCAGGCTCTATGTACAGAGGGAGCAAGAAGGGCTCTGGTATTTCTCCTGATGGGTGCCTGCAGCCTGAGAGGACAAATGTCCATTCTGGAAAAGCCTTGCCCTGCTCGGGAGTCAGGCTGCTCTCTGATGCAGAGCCCTGGCAGGAAATCACTCTGTGCAGGTTACATGTTCTGTGGATCACAAAACAGTTGGTCACATTGAATAGAGAGCTGACAGCAGATCAGCACCACTTTCTGGGCAGAGAGTGTTGCAAGTAAAATAATAACAGCTAACATTTTGAGTACTTGCCATGTGCTGGTCACCATTTCAGATTCTTTGCTTGTATTATTTAATTCTCACAATAAACCCTATGAGGCAGGTACTGTTGTTTCCACTTTATAGATTAAAATCTGAGGCGTAGATGAGATGGATTAACTTGAACCAATATCCATATCTAGCAGGCGGTAGAGCCATGATTTGAAGCTAGCTGCAGAGCCCATACTCCTTGCCTCTAGGCTCTGCTGTTTTTTAGGACTTGAGGGAAGCATGCTTTGCCCCGGGGCACTGTAGTAGGGAAAGGGAGTGCCTACCTGAAGGAGACCTCCTGTGCAATTGTAGTCCCGAAAGAGCTCTGCCGATGTCACCCTGTCTGCCCCTATTCCTCAGGGACCTGGGTTAGTTTCGACCCAGCTGGGCAGCTCTCCCTGTGATCTCTGATGACTTCACAGTCTTCAACCAGAGGCCAAGGTGGCTTCTCTCTTCCCTTTGTGTTCAGAGAAAAGGAGGATAAAAAGAGATTCTAGTTGTTGTTCTATAGAAGGTAATGGAGAAGGGGCTAGCTCCAGAGCCCTGAGGGCAGAACCAGGCCCAGAGTTCTGTTCTACCATCCATTTTCTTCACATTGGACATGCTTACTAACTTAAGAATAAACACCCCAGAGTTGACAGCAAAAATATTAGAATGCCATACTTACACTTGTATTTAATTCTAGCTGCAAAAGACAAGGAAAAGAATAAAGAGAAGAAATTCAAAGAGTTTGTGAGAGTGAAGCCAAAGAAGAAAAAGAAAAAGAAAAAGAAAACCAAACCTGGTAATTTTCCTTTGGGGTTCACTTGGGTTTCCTTATCATGGGTGAGCCAAAGGTTTTCTTTCTCCCCAGTCGTGGCTTTGAGCCTGCATGGAGGAGAGGAAGGGCTGGCAGGCCTTTACTGGAGCTGGTGAGCTCCGCCCTGGCAGGGGAGTAACCCACTCATCCTGGGAGTTACAAGGACACCTTGGCATTTAGGAGAGCTCCCCTCTCTTGCTTCACTGGCTAGTGTGCCCTGCCATAGGCCAGTGCATAGGAAAGCATCGTAGTAGCAGATGCTATGCAGGTAAAGGACTGTTCACATCTCTGTATCCCATTAGGAAGGCATTCACTTCTTGAAAAGTGTATGTATAGCCCTTACAAAAATGTTGATTTTTTTTTAAAGAAAACCAACCCTCAGATCTAAAGGGATGCCACATTTTATGAAAAGCAGAGATGTTGGTTTAATGGGATTGGTTCTGGAATGCCTGATGATGTCTGCGGCTGCTAATTCCTTTCTGATCTTGCTCTTTCAGAATGCCCCTGCAGTGAGGAGATCAGTGATACCTCCCAGGAGCCTTCTCCACCCACCAAGGCATTTGCTGTCACCAGGTGTGGGTCCTCACACAAGCCTGGGGTCCATATGAGCCCGCAGCTCCATGGCTCAGAATCTGGAAACCACAAAGGGAAAATGAAAGCATCCGGTAAGGAGGCTCTCCACTGGCTTGATCATTTGTACAACACTTAGCCTGACAAAAACTGGATTTATGTTGATGCTGTAATCTACTCTCCAGGCCCTTTGCAAGTGTAATCTGTTACATTTTTTAAATAAGTACCTCAAATAAAACAAAGGCCATTAGCTATGCCTTCCTTGAACTTCCCTTCTTTCCAACTTTGGTCTTAGTTCATGCCTATCAGGTACCTCCAAGCCAGTTTGTCTATAACTATATCCATTATGCACCTTCCCCTGGCACACCTGCCCCCATTCTTCCATTTCTTATTTGATGTCCTCAGCATTTAACCTGGTTGCTCATGGAAAGCTGAGTGAACTTTGAGGGTTCCCCTTGTAGGGCAATTGTGAGTTTAACAGGAGTTAATAATTTTGTGGAAAGTACTTAGAACAGTGTCTACAGAATAAGTGATCAGTAAAGGTTAGCTGTAATCTAATAAGGCTCCATGACCTTGTGATTTTAGTTCTGATTATCCCTGGAATCTGCCCCTTTCCGATTCCCTATGTCTACAGAGTTTTAAAGGTGGCTCTGGGTACAGGCTTGGCTGTAAGCCAGGTCCTGGCTGGATGGGGTGAGGTTGAAGAACACATGTGAATCATTAGGGATGACAATCTCTGTGGTTCATGAGGAACATCAGCTTCTCTGCCAATGAGTTTTGTGACCTTGAATAGCCATTTACCTTGGGCTTCTCTCCAGTAAAATGAAGAAATGGTGTTTATTTCACTGCTAGGCAGTGTACATCATTTAGGCTGTTACTTGATGACAGGTTGTTGCTTTTGAAAATCTAGGATTTCTAAATTTTATAGCATAATTTAAAATAGTGACTATTGTTTTGCCTTTTCTCTCAGAGGAGGACAATCTGAGTGAATCCTCTTCCGAGAGCTTCCTTTGGAGTGATGAAGAGTATGGCCAAGATGTTGATGTGACCACCAACCCGGATGAGGAACTCGATGGGGATGACCGCTACGATTTTGAAGTGGTCCGCTGCATCTGTGAGATTCAGGAGGAAAATGACTTTATGATTCAGGTAGGTGGAGCTTCCAGGAGACAGGTGTCAGGAGGCACAAGCTGGTCCTTGGAGGGAATTTTAAGGGGCTACAGTCAGAGGCCAGCAAAAATAAGACATGTCAGCAGTCCGTGATAGGCAGTATTATCAGAAGCAGATTGAGCTTTGCATTTTGGGTTAGCATCCTCTGAATCTCCTCGGAATCTCAGGCTGGTGTGAATAGCCTATTCATAGAAGAAGCTAGGCCTCAAGGGATCATTGAGCCTAACCCTCCCATACTCTGCTTGGGGCAGCTGTCACCCGCAGATGGGAAGGGCCTTGCCTGTGGTCACACAGTGAGGGCTTGAACAGCAGGGCCCAGATTTCTGGAATGGCAGTTCATCTTCCTGTGGACCCATACCTTCTCTCTTGAATTTTATAAATTGCTTGCTTCTTGTTCTTTATTTTCCTGACATTCGTATCTGTCATTTCCATGTCTGGGATGTGCCTGTGGAGTGGGCCTCCTTGCCTCCTTGGGGAAACCATCACTGGCCAGCACCTCCTTGTCTCCGATCCTTCCCTCGCTCTTAATCACACCTCTGGTGGAGGCAGCTCATGTCTGGCTGACTCCAAGGGCTTTCACGAATTTCTTGGCAGCTGCCTGGCTGTCCAAGAAACCCGAGTTTTTAAACTAAGTCATGGTTACGTTGGTTAGGATTCTTTGGGAGTTTCCTTTGAAATAGCCTTTATGGTAATCTCTGGGGATTCAGGGTACATGAATGGTCTCAAATATTGTCTGATATTTATGACCTTAAGTATGCCTTCGGTCAGTGGTTTTCAAACTTTTTAAGTATCAGAACCCCTTTTCCTAATGGACTCTTTCGTAGAGTCCAAAGTGTATAAAGGTAAAAAGAGTAGTTTAGAAAGTTCAAAATGGATAATCTTCACTGTTAAGTTCAGAAATGTGAATGGTGGGCCTGTTCCTATGAATTCTGATAGGCAATCAGTGTTGTGAGTGACAGTTGCTGACTTGGAGCATTTCAGTGGCTCAATTATTTTTCTCTTTTTGTGAGATAAAAAAAGAGTTTTTTTGAACAACATCCTGTGTAGTCACTTTGATTAATCAGAAGTGGGAGGAAAAGCTTTCTTTAAGGACAACATAAAACTGAGGTAGCCCAGCAGTACAGAATTATGTGTACTGGTAGACTCTGTTGTCTTAACATTAAGCTTGGAACATGTTTGAGTAGCTTTTTTTTTTTTAAGTTTGGTTTTTAAGAGAATATTGGAGATTGTTAGTGTTTATCCTGTATCTCTGGATGTATGTGCTCAGTTCTGGGCCTTGGAAGTTGATCTGGTCCCCATTTGTCTATAGAAATCTTTAGTGGGTGAGTAATGAAGTCCACTCTGGCAAGGCTGTGCTGGCCTATCGGTATGGGACACCGATACCCAGTGGGTATGCTAATCCACTGTGGTTCTTTCTCCATTGATTTTCCTGTAAATAGCAAGGATCACAGAGTATTTAGAGGGTAAAGCTTGGTGTCCCATTCTGTACTATAGGAAGAAACTTAAGTTTGTAGCTATTGAGACATACCAGCTGTTACAGGTCAGGGTCTGGAACTGACTTCATCTGCTTCCCAAGCTCTACATGACCTCCTCCCAGTTCAGCTCAATACTGTGGCTTCCTGTCTGGCATTGTGGTGGTGATGAGCTCACTAGAACCCCTTTGGTTTTGTTGTGAATTTGTCTTGCTATCCACTTGCTGTCCAGCTGGCTTTGTGTCATGGAGGGACATTTTCTGACTTTCCCTGTCATTATGAGCAGTGTACATTTTCCAAGCAGGACTTTTAGCAAAAGGCACTCATAAATTTAGAGGGAGCTAACTGGAACAAGTATATTTAAAATTTTTAGAATTTATTCATCATCTAGTTTTAAATGTGTTCATCATCTAGGAAGGTTCAAATAATTTTTTCTTGAAAGAAATTTTTAATGTACATTGATAATTTGTACAACCCTAGAACACATTTAGTTTGTTTCCTGTAATACATATATTATTTTGGAGAAATAATTTTCTTCGATCATTTTCATTATTTGATTGATAATCAACATTCCTCAAATATATTATTATTATTTGATTTTATTTACCACTGCTAATTTAAATCACTGTGAGGTTAAAATTTTACTTAGTAATTATGAATGTTTGAGAAATCTGGGGACCACATTGAAAATGAACATCAGAAAAACCCATTTGATATTTAAATTAATTATTCTAGCCTAGCTTTTGGCAAACATTTTCTAATAGGATCAGATAATAAATATTTTAGGCCTTGAGGACCATATGGTCTCTGTTGCAACTACTCAGCTCTGCTGTAAGCAGCCACAGGTTGTATGTATGTAAAATGAATGAGCATGTTCATATAATACTTAATTGCAAAAGCAGGACTCCAACTGGGTTTGGCCTGTGGGCTGTAATTTGCTGACCTTTGCTTTAGAGCAACAAATATATATTAGGTGCTAAACCCCAGTATAAATTGTGTGACAGTTTTAACGAGAAACCCGTTTTAAGAGTTTTGTTTGTTTTAAAATGTATATTATTTATCTGTTGCTAGTTAATGCATTCACATAGTTCAAAGTCTAAAAGGCATATTTAGGTATACAGAGAAAAATAGTGCTATCCCGTCAGTCAGTTCCCCTTCCCTAGAGGCAGCCCTTACCATCTTGTATATTGTTCCACAAACATTCTGGGGCTAAACAAGCAATAACAAATATATGCTCTTCATTCTTTTTTTGTTTTGATGGTAAATTATACATAACAAAACTTATCATTTTAAGCATTTTTAAGTGTAGGACGCATAAAATGAATTGGCATTGAGAACATTCACATGTCTGTGCAACCATCATTTTTTAAAAATAAATTTTTATATGTAGTATTTTGAAGATCTTTTTTTCATATAACTGTATATAAGTTGAAGACCACCTCATTTTCAAGTATAAAAAGCTTCCCTGTTCTTTTTATGACTACGTAATGGATGGATGGTAGTATTTAATTTTTCCCCTATTGATGGCCATTTAGATTATTTCTAATCATAACAGTGATTTAATGAATAATTTTGTGTCTCTATACCTGTGGGTCCTAATCTGGGAAGTGGAATTCCTGGGCTAAAGGGTATGTGCATTTGTAATTTTAACAAATAGTGCTATTTGTCATAGCAATATTATATAAATCCTCCCTGGAGGCAGTACCAAAGAAGTCACACCAGGCACTGTTGTGAGTATACAGTGTACTAACAAACCTTTTTACCATTGCTCTTTAAGCAAAAAAAATAGTCTATTAATATAGCCATTTTGTAATTTATTTTTAAATAAACTTTAAACATTTAATTTAGCATTTGGGAAATGCGGAAAAACACAAATTAGAAAACAAGAATCACCCAGAACCCTGACCTGTTGGGTGATTATACCACAATCATTCAGTTGGTTGGGCGTCATACCACAAAGCCAAAGGTCACCAGTTTGATTCCTAGTCAGGGCACATGCCTGGATTACGGGCCCAGTCTGGCTGAGGCATGTGCTAGGACAGCTGATCGGTGTTTTTCTCTCACATCAATGTTTTTCTCTCTCTCTTTCTCACTCCTCCTCTCTCTAAAAATAAATATAAAATCTTTAAAAAAGCAAGGAATCACTCACATTATTTTTACCCAAGGATGACTCATTGTTAATATTTTGGAATACACATATACACGTGCGCATATAAATGAGAATTATGCTCTGTAAACAGTTTTTCATAACACTTTTATGATGAAGGTAGTAAATGTTATAAAAACTTAAGACAGTACATAAAGGTATAAAGAATCAATTGATATTTACATTTTACATGTGATCCCCAAACCTAGAAATACTATGTATGCATATTATTAGTCTGGTTTTATTTCACATTAATTTATATTAATTCAAGTTCCTTTACATGAATTTATTCTTTTAATGGTTGATTTGAACATCTTTTTATTTAAGAATTAGCTTTTTTTTCTTTGATCTCTCTGTTCATGTTCTTTATCCATTTTTCTGTTGAATGGTTGGTCATTTTGCTACTCGTTTGTATAGGCTCTTGTATAGATGTGTTTTTGTATTGGCTGTTACAAATGAAGAGTTTACAAATGCTTGTAGTCACTTGGTTATTCACTTTGTCATCTAGTTTTTGACTTACAGATTTTTTGTTTTTATGAGGTCAAATATATTAAACTTTAATGCTCCTGAGATTTGAGTAATAGTTGTTTTCTCATTGGAAGTTCATAAAAGTTTTTAGAAACATTAATAAAAGGATTCTCATAGTTTCTTATGGTACATTTGGGGTTTAACTTTTTTTTTTTTTTAACCATATAAATATTTGATCTGCCTGTAATTTATCTTGGTATAAGATGAGTCCTATGGCTACCCAGTTGTCCCAACACTATACCCCACTCTTGCTGTCCAGGAATAAGGTGCATCTCACCATTGGCTTAAGTCTCTGTATCTCTCAAATAGTATTTTAAAATTTTCTTCATAGAGATCTTGCATATTTTATTCTTAGATAGTCATAGGTTTTTTTTTCTTAAATTGTCTTAGATTTATTCTTAGATATTTTATCTTTTCTGTTATTCTTGTTCATTTCTAAATTTAAACTTTTAAAAAAATGAATGGCCCTGGCTGGTGCGGCCCAGTAGGTTGAGTGCCAGCCTGTGAATTGAAGGATTGTTTGTTTAATTCCCAGTCAAGGCACATACCTGGGTTGTGGGCCAGGTCCTCAGTTGGGGGCATGCGAGAGGCAACCAATTGATGTTTTTCTTGCACATTGATGTTTCTCTAGCTCTGTCTCTCCCTCCCTTCCCCTCAAAAAATAAATAATATCTATTTTTAAAAAATGAGTAGTGTATTTTAACCAGACTCACATGAAGAAAATTATTTTGAAATTTTCAAGTTGGCTGCATTTGATTCAGCAGTGGTGAATCCTAGTTCTCAAGACACTTAACAAACTCATTGGTGAGAGACTTTCATTCTTACTGCTAGTCTTTTTTTCTGCTACTAACAACCTTTGTTGTTGTACACTCTTTACTTTCTCTTTGAACTTTAGTATGCTCATTTGAAATGGAAGAATCTGGATCAGATCTTATCTGAAGTCTCTCTTCCAGTTCTGCTCCTGTTGATTCTGAAATGATCAGCTTCCTGGAGGATTTATATCTGCCCACAAAAGCCCTCTTCATGCTAGGGACTATCTGACTCCAAGTGGCTGAAGATTGTCTGAACTTCGGACTTTTAGTTCCTTGTGGCTGAGCTGGTGGCCCATCCTCAAGGCCATGTCAGAAGGCTCACTGTCTACCTTCCAGAGCTATTTGTCTAGTTGGGTACTTAAAGGTTTTGGGTCCTGATTTGGAATTGCTTGAAGTATTTTAGTATTTCTTGTGGCATCTGCTTTTCCTCTTTTATTTCCTCCCCTTAATTCTCAGGCTTACTTTTCAAAGGTCTCCCAGTGCTGCCCTCGTTGTCTACTCCTTTCTTTCCCTCTTTACCTCCTGCCCCTCCTTCACCTCGCTTTCCCCACCTCCCCCCTTACGCAGGGAAGGCGGTGGGGCTTAGGGGTTAGAAGAACTAGCTTTGCAATTTGCTTGGCCAGTGTTCTGATCCACCTTTGCCTCTCTTCAGCTGTGTGACCTTTGGTAAGGTTTAGAGAGAATAAATGCAAAGTGCTAGCAGATAGTTACTTCAGGAGCCACCAAAGTGGAATTAGATTGCCCATTAGTAGTAGTAATAGGCTCTTAGTAGGTTAAAGTTGTGGGATAGGAACTTTTATACATGACCCATTGATTCTTCATAAATAGCCCCACACAGTTGGTAGGAATAGTATCCTGTTTTGTAGATGGGGAACTGAAACTCAGGGTGCAGAAGTGACCTCTGCAAGGTCACAGAGCTAATGAATAATAATGAGCCAGAATGCAAACTTGGGATTTTGTCATTACAAGTTAACCTTCCTCTAAGTACTTCAACAATTTTTCCTCTACCAAAAAGATCAGAAAAGTTTAAGCCTCTAGAAATGAGAACAAAAGCCATGTTTTGAAATCAGCACTGTTTATTGATCTGAATGTTCTTTATCTGTGCTGTCCAGTACAGTAGCCACTAGCCTTGTGTGGCTGTTACGCACTTAAGATGTCACTAGTGGGACTAAGGAACGGGATTTTTAACTTGATTTGTTAACGTAAATGTAGTGGCTGTCATACTGGCTTGCAGAGTTCTAGATGAATGGTTGCAGCCCCTCACCGCCCCTGTAAAAGTCCGTTTTGGGTGTGCTGTCCCCTCTTCTTCCAGCTCCTGCTGTCCCCTCCCCCATGGGTGGGTCTTATTTTTGGGCAGAGAATATCTTCTGAGTTTAATTTTTATTGCTTCTTTAATTCTGACAGTGTGAAGAGTGCCAGTGCTGGCAGCATGGGGTCTGCATGGGATTACTGGAAGAAAATGTGCCTGAGAAATACACCTGTTATGTTTGCCAAGACCCTCCAGGTAGAGATTTCTGGAGTCAGGGATATTCACAGCATGTAGCCTTTTCCTTGGCACAGCTGGTCGTGAAGCACCCTAAGTGTTTATAGTCTTGAGACTCATTTCTTCAGCATCAGCTAGACTCTGACCTCTCTCACCTTTGCTGCTCACTTGCCTGGTGGCCAGCTTTCCTGAGCTCGTCAGTAAGAGACTATGTGTGAAAAGGTTCATCAAGTGGAAGAGCTGGCCTTGAGCTAGAATTTATTTATTTTTTATTGTAAAAATTATGTAACAAGAGATCTACCCTCTTAACATTTTGTGTTGTACAGTATTGTTTTTAAATGAAGCAGTGTTGTACAGCAGATCTCTAGAACTAATTCATCTTGAGTGACTGAAACTCTATAAAAACTATGAAATTCTCTACAGATTTGCATGTCATTCTTGTATAAAGTCCATGCTAACCTTCTCTGTCTCTTTCCAGTTTTATAACTCTCCTTTTCTTGAGAGTTCATGAGGATGTGGGCTCTGTCCTTGGCTTTTAGCAGCTGTTGGGGATTAGAAACCTGCCTCTGCTCCCTCTGGTGGCACCTGCCCTCCACTGCTTCATTGGCACAAGGGAGGGAGATAATGCCCTTCAGGGGAAGGGGAAGGGTATGGTTTTGAAGAGCCTGTCTGCCACCCAAAGTAGAGAATTAATTCCTTAGCAGGATCAGTTAGTTTCATTGTTCTTGGGTGCCCCTCTTCTGAAGTCTCAGGGGTGGATTATAAACCTGTTCTTGCCTTGCTGTCAGTAGGATGGTAACATCTTCTCCCTTACCACCTGTTACATCTCCCCTCAGCTCCAGTACCATGATCTCCTACATCTAGACAGTACTTGAGAACACCTCTGCTTCTGTTACTCTTTTTTGTCCTGTGAGGGGCCTGGTAGGAACTCCTACTTCCACTTTTGCTAATAAGAAAGAAATAGATGTAATAGATATGAATGACTTTCCTAATCTCATGAAGCAAATTGGCATTGGAGCTGGCTTGTAGGGCCGGATCTCTCAATTTTGCTGGTTGTGTAGGGCGGGGCTGGCCACCATAGTTATTTTTCAGCAAGTAGGTCCCCTTGGGGCCTGATAATCTCTGTTTGTGACACTGTGTCTCCTTGTGTTAGACTATAGGCCATAGACAAGAGGAATCCCTTTCCTTCTGTCTCAAGGAAAGAATATGGTCAGAAGTTTCATCCATGAGTCATAGAATATTTTTGATGGATAGGATCTCAGAGACCACTTAGTTTAGCCCCAGCATTTGACAGGTGAGCAAATACAGGCCCAGAGTGGACATGACAGAAGATGAGAGCCAGTGTCTCTAACCTTTGTCTTGTAAAACAAGTAATGTTGCTCTGAATCCTGTTCAGGTGGCTTTTGCAGCAGCTGCCTCTGAGATATCAGAGGGCTCTGTAGGCACTGTTTAAAAATGATTTTTGTCTTCTTTAGTGTCTCCCATTCTTTCCCTCTACTTTTCTCTTGTTAGAAATTATATACACGATCTTTATCAATTCCTGTACACTTTCTGAACTTACTTTTTTAAATAGTTTATTTTTTATTATATATTTTTATTACCATTTATCTCCCTATACCCTCTTTAATAATTCTAATTGCCAAGACTATGAATGGATTTCTCCTTGAATTGAGAACTCAGTGTCTGTTACATTTATAAATTTTGTTGAACTGTGCATTGTCTTGGGTCAAAAGTTTAACCTAGCAGAGTTAAAGGTTACTTGAAGATGCTTTTAACAGAATCAAGGTACATTCCTACCACATGTCTTGGTAAAGTCAGAAAGAGCACAGGGACCTTGGTAGGCATTACAAAGGTTATTTCAGGGTTTTTAGATATTAGGAGGTGACCAGCAGTCTTGAAAGTTGTTCCCTGGGCTTTTGGAGCTAGAAATGGTGCCAAGTCACATGGGGTCATGTTTTCAGTCCTTCCTAAGATCCCCTGTAATGAACAAGATCACTGAAGCCATTCAGGTCATCTGTCATCACAGATGGGAAATGGAGATCTAGAGAGGTCAGGGAGCCTGGTCATAATTCAATTAAGTGGTAGTTGACAGTGGGAGGAGCACTTAGGGCTTCTTTACATTTTATAAATCCATTGAAGTTGCTATTTGCCAGGCACTGGGAATACAACCATGAACAAGATGGTTATTATTCTTTTGGCTCTTCGTGGAGTTGGGACCAGAAACATATGAAAATAAGTCAAATAAACTAGAACTTGTTAGATAGGGATGAGTGTTTGGGGGTGGGGGAAGCAATCAGGCGGAGAATAGCTAGGAGGTACTGAAGAGTCCATCTTTCTTTGGGAGGTGATAAAAGGCCTCTCTGAGGAGAAGTGGTGAGGAGCCAGTCTTGCCAAAGGCCTTGGGGAATAGTGCGCCAGACAGAGTGGGTGCTCAAGCAGAGACCCTAGACCAGAAAGAACTTGATGTGTTCCATAAACTAAAAGGAGGCCACTGTAAGGGTGGGCCCAAGGGAGTAGCAAGTGGCCTGTCCTACAAGCCTCAGTAGGCCAGAGTTAGGGCTTTAGATTTCTACTGTGCTTAGTAGAAAGTCTTTTCAGACTTAAGTTGGAGAGGGGATGAGGTGATTTAAATTTAAAGAGACGTCCAGGTTCCTACTGCACCTCTGGTCATTTCCAGATCAGGAAACTTACATTTCTTACTCACTACCTTACCCCCAACACCTAGTAGAGAGCCTAGCGTATAGTAGGTGTCAAGTAAATGTATATTGGATGAATAAATGAATATAATGGACACACCAATCCATCCTTCCAATAGTGTTTGATAATTGTACAATGGTGAAACAATCCTGGTTTCCTTCAGGCCAACCATTAACTTTTGTTGTCGCTATTTTAGGTCAGAGGCCTGGCTTAAAGTACTGGTATGACAAAGAGTGGTTGACTAGGGGGCATATGCATGGCCTGGCATTTTTAGAAGAGAACTACTCCCACCAGAATGCCAAGAAGATTGTGGCCACTCACCAGCTTCTTGGGGATGTGCAGAGAGTGATCGAGGTTCTGCACGGCCTGCAGCTCAAGATGAGCATCTTGCAGTAAGTGTGGGACCTGCAACTTTGGGGATTTGTCTGATTTGGCATGGCCTGGGGTGAGGATAAGTTTCAGAAGTTGGAAAGCTACAAAATCGAGACAGATGACCTTGCTAAAGATTCTCAGTTATAAAACATTTTTTTAAAAATTAACTTTATTTAGGTATATTTATATAAGTTAAGTTCACCCGTTTTTTAAGTGTTCATTGAGTTTTGACAAATATGTACACTCTTGCAACCACCACTATAATCAAGATACAATGTATGTATTTATAAACTGTTTTTTGTTTTGGTGTACGGTTCTGAATTTTTTTGTTTGTTTGTTTTTTACAAAACAAAATTGTGGTAAGATAGCCCTGACCAGGGTGGCTCAGTTGATTGTCCCACAAGGCAAATGGTTGCCAGTTCAAATCCTGGTCTGGGCACATGCCTGGGTTATGGGTTCAGTCCCCAGTTATGGCATGTGCAAGAGGCCACTAGTCAGTGTTTCCCTCTCATGTTGATGTTTCTCTCCCTGTCTCCCTCGCTTCCCCACTCTGGAAAAATAAATAAATAAACTCTTTTTAAAAATTGGTAAGATATACATAATATAAAAATTACCATCTTAACAATTTTTTAGTGTACAGTTCAGCAGTGGTAAGTGCAACAGATTTCCTGAACTCTCTTTCCATCTTGTAAAATGGAAACTTTATACCTGTTAAATAACTCCTCTCCATCCAACCCCTGGCAGTCACCACTCTACTTTCAATCTTTATGAATTTGTCTACTTTAGGTACCTCATATAAATGGGATCCTGTAGTATTTGTCTTTTTATGACTAGTTCATTTCATTTAGTATAATGTTCATCTCAAGGTTCATCTGTTTTGTACCCTGTATTGCATTTCCTGTCTTTTCGAGGTTGAATAATATTTCATCGTGTCTAATAACCACAATTTTGTTTATCCATTTACCTTAAATTGTCTTGATTGACAAAGTAAAATTGAAAGCTGTTGGAATAGATACTGTTGATAAGCCTGCTCTCTAGCATAGAGGTTGCTCAATAAATATGTTCCTTGATGGTTCTCTCATACAGAAAATTTTAGGTCTTTTGGAGCTGGACTTCTGGCTTTTATTGGCCAGAGTTTGGAGTTAAATTCAGTGTGAATTCCCTTCTGTGGTTGCATTCTACATGTCAAGTGTCCCAAGTTTATGTAAACTCTGAGAAAGACGAGTGACTCTTATTAGGATCTGTTGGCTTTTATAACCTACCCGGGGCAGCTGCCCTCCATGGTGTGCAGGGCCAGGACTAGAACTCAGGCCCTCGCCCCCGACAAGGACTTGTTCTAACATTTCTAACTGCCTCTCCTCAGCAGTTGCAGGAATTTTCTTTCGGTGTTAGCACAGTCTATGGCAGGGACAGCTTCTCTTCTGTAAACATTTCTCCTTAAGTTCTCCCGTAGGGTACCATTTTAGTTACATCATCAACAATGACAAACTAGCTCCATGAACGAGTTAGGTATGACCGGTGACTCTCTGACAAAGTTTCCTTTGTGCTGACTAATCCTGGAGATACCAGGCAGGGTAGAGTGTCAGAATCCTCGGGTGGCAGGATGAGGGTCTGCTTTCTCTTGCATTCTGGTACACGAGAGACCTGGCTTCAAGTACTGGCATGCCAAGGACTGGGTGAGCAGGGCATGTTCAGCAAGAGTATATATTGGTTTGGGTGAAAGCTAAACTGCTGTGACAGAGACCACCCAAACAGAGACTAAAACAAAATGGAATTTTTATTTCTCACATAATGCATGTTTCAGGGGTAGGTAGGTGACCTGGCTAGGCAGATGACCTTTCTCAAGGATTCTGCCTGGGAACTTAGGGACTTGGGTTCCTTCTGTCTTATTCCTTTGGCATTCCATTGGGATTACCCTCATCTGTGTGGTTGAAGCAGTCTCATCTGTATCGCAGCTCTGCTCCAAATCCCGGGAGGGGGAACGTAGGAAAAGGATGAGCAAGCAGTTTCATGGATACACCTAACTGCAGGGAAGGCTAGGCAGGTGGCCACGTGCCCTGCTGAAACTCAGGAGTGAGGGCAGAGTGGGTAGAAGAGAAGGGGAGGATAGTTGCTAGGTGTATTAGCTATTATCATGACATTATTTGTTGAGGTCAGCTGAATCAATTGACAGGCCTGGTTAGGAACACCTATTCCTTCATATTTTATAAATTTGGACAACTTTACGGCATTTAAACCCAATAAATTTCTTCTAAATGAGATGCCAGAAACTGACTGAGGGAGGTGACAAGGTGGTCCGTGGGAAGGCCTAAAAAATCCTCAGGTGATGCTCTGATTGTGAACTTTGCCAGATTGCTTTTCATTTGTGGAACCAGTCAGAGGATGTTCTCTTTTTTTCTCAGTGAAATGCCAATGCTCCTGGCCCTGTTCCATATTCAGGAACCTTGGCCCTGGTTATTCCCTGTTAGGATTTTTTATCTTTATAGTGGTGACTTTGTATTAGAATTAAATCTGACTTCTCCGAGCAACTCAGAAGAGGGTGTAGGGAGATCTTTTTAGTCATTATATGTTGAGAAAAGATCTTGGGAGAAAGGGAGGTGGTCCCAATATGTCTGTGTGCACATGGATAGTTTCTGTTGTCACAGGCTCTGGACTTCATTTTTAGAAATATTGTTCCCTAAGTGGCCTGGCCAGTTTAATTTCAGAGGCAAACAATGACAGGGAATAACTCCAGAGCATCTGTTGTCTTTTAAAAAGTGGCACATGTGGCTCTGCATACCTTCTTTATGATTGTCAGGGCTTGCAAGGAAAGGCCGGGATCATCCTTGTGTGGAATAGTAGTTGGGGCCTCAGATCTTACCTAGGAGGGGTGAAAATTTTAAGAGGGAGGAAGAAAAGACTTTCGTGATTTTCATTCAATAGGAGGTCCATACTGGGGCTTCTGTGTTCCATGTTAACAGATTTCAGACTAGTAGACCTGAAAGTTAACAATGACTCCCATTTGCCCCGATGCAGTTCAGATTTTAGTGATCTTTTTGGGTCTGGGATTCCTGGGATAGGCTATGATACCCTGTTGGAGGTGAACGAGGGACCCGTGGTGCTGTGATGTTGGTGGTTTTCTCTCCTCCCCCAGGGGATGAGAGTGGTATTGGTATTGGGGATTGCTTGGGTGGGAGAGCTCCCCTCCGAAGGATAGTTTCAGCCTCTTTGGAGCAGAATTTTAGGTTTTTTAAGATCACTAGACACCTTCATTTTCATGACCTATTCCATTTCTGGAAGGCCTCAGTAAAGTGTGGATGGGGGGCAGTACCCATGTGTGGGAGTTGCTGGTGAGTTAAGCTTGAGCTTTCCTGCTGATCAGTGTTTCTCAGCTGGGACTAGAAAGGTGCCGTTGACAGTTGTACCGTGGGATAACTCTGTATGGCATTGTCCCAAGCATTACCACACAAGGATGTTTAGCGTCCTTGGATTCTGTGAACTAAAAGCCAGTAAGTACCCTTCATCATTGTGACAGTCAAAAGGCCTCACATGTTTCTACATATCTGTGAACCAAATGTGGGCAGCACCTCTCTGTCCTCCCACACATTGTGAGTGTACACAGGGAAGCTTGCCTAGAGGTGAGGAGACCACAGATTTCCATTCCCCTCAGCCTGGCAGAGGGTGGTTTTTTATTAGACAGCTCAGGTCGGACCTCTTCCTCTTGAGAGAGCCTTTGGGAACTGAGAAGCCCTTGCAGTGGTTCCACTTCAAAGCCCTTTCCACATTTGCCCTCCCCACAGAAGCAGGGAGCATCCTGATCTGCAGCTGTGGTGTCAGCCTTGGAAACAGCACTCAGGGGACGGGAGATCTCATTCCAGACACATCCAAGTTGCTGAAGCCAAGAGCAAGGAGGAAGCCCCAAGCTATAGAACTTTGAATGGGGGTGTGGAGAAACCCCTGCCCCTGCCCCAGTCTGTGGAGGAGTCATATATCACCAGCGAGCACTGCTATCAGAAGCCCCGCGCCTATTACCCTGCTGTGGAGCAGAAGCTGGTGGTGGAGACCCGGGGCTCTGCCCTCGACGATGCAGTCAACCCCCTCCATGAAAATGGTGACGATTCCCTCTCCCCACGCCTGGGCTGGCCTCTAGACCAAGACAGGAGCAGGGGGGACAGTGACCCCAAACCCAACTCCCCAAAGGTAGGTACTTGTTCTTAATTCAGCGTTTGAGTGCTTCTGAGTTCTCCTTCGAGGGATAAGTGTTTTGTATAAGATGTTTATTATAACATTTATTTGTTGTAAAATTATATAAATTGTATTTGAATTTCTTATCACAGGTTTTTTTTTTTTCTTATTTTTTTTCTTGTTAAAATGGGTGCAAAGTCAGGAGAGCCCACTTAAACCAAAGATCATTGGCCCTGGGAAATGCCCACAAAATGGCATAGTCAGTGGGGCTGGGGGTAGAGATGTAGGAAGTAGCAAGGAGAAAGGGTTGATTGGGACTTGATAAGTGAAGCTAAGTGATGAAAATGAGTTTTTTCTTTAATGCAATTTATAATTGCACCTAGTTGCTAATTCTTAGCATGAGCAAAGAGTGAGTCAAGTATTGTGTTAAGCGTTAAGTTTATAAGTACAGTTCTGTGATAGCTTTAATTGGACTTTTAACTTTGTAGCCCTGACATAAGAACAGTCTGCTTTGTCAAAATATTTGCAAGTTGCATCAGTTTTCCCAAGAGCCACTCTTCATTGTTTTGTTTTTCAATTTATTCTCTTCTGGAATCCCCTGTGTCATCCTGTTGCTAAAGTTGTCTTTAACTGTTCACCGGTCTCGTTCTACCGTTCTCAGTGTGATTTGAGGGCTTCTCTACCCTCGTTGTCCTTACTTTCACAGAATTGTGGATCAGTATCACTAGCGTTAAATACATTGCTGCTTATTGTGGAGAAGCAGCATCCTAAATTATAAGCCCCTTGAGGGTGGGTCTCATATCTCATTTAGCCTCTGCCCTTGGTAGTGTCAAAACAGGTGCTGGGCAAGGCTGGTCTTGGAGCCAAAGGACACATCTTTGGAGACAGACCCAGTTTCTAGTCAGAACCTAGGCCCCATTTTACTGTGTGGTTATAACAGGTCACTTTACCTCCTCTAGCATCATGGCTTTGCACATAGAAAGTTCTCAATAAACATTAGCTAGAATCAGTTTTATTTCAAATGAACGAATGAAAAGCTGAGCTCACAAATCCCAGAAAAGGTTTGTGCTCCTGCAGACTAGGCAGGATTTCCTAGACATGTCTGGCACATAATAAAAAATCAGAAAATACTGGGTCTAAACAAGGCAGGCAGGGTTAAAAATCTCTCATTGATGGCAGGCTGACCTTAGACCAGCACTATGTTTTATAAATCTTATCCCATTTCATCCACATAAACGTTTAAAGTAGGTTTTGCTCCATAAGGGAACAGAGGCTCGGAGAGGTGAAATAACTTATCCAGGTTCACGTATTCAGCGAGACATGGAGCTAGGACTTAAAACTCATTTGTCCGATTCCCACATACTAGTTCTTGTCTGTACTTGCCCTGCTATACTGTGATCTCAGGGCTCTGAAAGTCATTCTCTGAGGCCCACGTCAGGCCTAGGGCATTGGGCCAGTTGCTGAGAAGCAGCTGTGGGGTCTTCTGAGCCAGTGGTCTGTGCTGCCCTGAGGTGGTTGCAGTTGGTACAGCAGTGCCCAGGAGAGAGGGAGGAAAAGGAAGTAGAGATTTGGAATATTGAAACTGCAGCTGATTTTTCAGATGTCTTCAAACACTGGCTGGTTGGAGAAAGGGTTGGGAGCTGTCTCTACTCAGTAATTTAAATGTCATTGCATTCCCAGGTGAGGGAATATGTCTCCAAAAAGGTCCTACCGGACGAAGCCCCTGCGCGGAAGCTGCTGGACAGAGGCGGGGAGGGGCTGCTGAGCTCCCAGCACCAGTGGCAGTTCAACCTGCTGACCCATGTGGAATCTCTTCAGGATGAAGTCACGCATAGGATGGACTCCATTGAGAAGGAGCTGGATGGTAGGGCTCCTCCCTGGCTCTTTGCCCATTGGCAGGCACTGTGAGCTTATCAGGATGAGCTGCTATCTGCACTGCCCTATCTGGCTCTCCAGGGACAACTCTATTCTTGCCATCTCTTCTTTTCAGTCTTACCCACCTTCGTCCTACCCTCAAGATGGACCATCCTCACTTTTAGTATTTATTGGGCACTTCTAAGGGCTGCGTGATGTCAGGAGTCCTACCTCACTTGCCCAGTCCCTTCTGCAGAAGAGCAGCTGGACTGTACTGCAGGCAGTGTGCGACTTGAGCAAATATTTACTAACCAAGTTCGTTCTCTCTTTTTTAATTGATTGATTTTTCTTTCTTTTTTTTTTTTTTAGAAAAAGAAACATCAATTTGCTCTTCTACTTATTTATACATTCATTGGATTATTCTTGTATGTGCCTTAACCAGGGATCAGACCTGCAGCTTTGGCATATTGGGACGATCAATGCTCTAACCAACTGAGATACCCGGCCAGGGCTAACCAAGTTTTTAACTGAGTTTTTAGGCTATCTGAGGATTAATCTGGGGAAAAGAAACCTTTTATTTTACCCCTTGATAAAATCTAAAATGAAGCCTTTTCCTCTTTACCAGAAGAGATTTAAGAACTTGACTGAGTCATTTGTGTAGTCCCTGGGATTTCTCCCAGATGTTAGTGGTAACAGATGGGCTTGGAGGCAGAACTTGTGATGGCGAACATGATCAAATTCAGTCTCTCTTGATCCCCAGGAAGTTGCTAGTTTGATTTTTGAAGACAAAATTCCTTCTTGATTGTTCACTTATTTCCTAAATATTTGTTTTCACCCTTAAAATGGAGTCCAGTTAAGAACTAAATATTCTGTTTGAGGATTCTGAGCACAGTCAAGCTATTACTTTAATTGGAGATATAAAACATACTTAAATAACTCAGAAAAATACTGTGTATTACACAAGCTAGGGTCATGAGGTGTGGCCAGGTCATGTGTACAGCTGAAGCCATGCCAGAGGAGAACTGTTGCGAGGGGAAGCAATAACATGGAGGCTTCCTGGAACTCCTGGTACTGAAATGGAGCCTTGAGTAGTGTGATGTCTTTCGCTGGAGAGAAGGTGACTCAGAGTGGTTGAGGAGAGGACTGGCTCTACTGGAAAATGGATTGCCTATTGGAGGATAGTGAGACAGAGAAAGATCTGCATGCCTTCATGCTTCTCTCTTGCCCCAGAGGCAAACCTGAGGAACTGGGAATAGGTGGCTAGCCCAGGGTCCATTGTGACGGCATTCCTGGAAGGGGGAGTATTTCTTTCTCTTTTACTCCTAGAAGGTTTACTTGGGCTCCTTAGAATTGTAACTCATGTCACTGTCTGTGAAAACCCTATTAGGTTGCTGAAATAATATTGAATGTCAGATTGAAAATTGTAGATTTTAAAAGTAGGAGTGGCTTTGGGTCCCTGAAAGGGGGAGGCTTAGTACCATGGAAACAGAGTAAACAACATTCTGTTGTTGCCAGAGGAACCTGCCCTTAGGTGAGAAGTGGGAGCCTACCGAATTCTTACTCACAGACACCCATACCAGACCTCTCGCCCCCACCCACCCCATTCTCTGCAGTTTGGGCAGTGTGGCAAGGATGATAAGCCTCACCTCGCTTCTCTAGAAAGTCCAGAGAACTTTTTATGTTGTGTTCTGCTGATTGGGGGCCACATAGTCTATTCTTGTGCTAATACCCCAGGCTCTGAGAGGTACCAAGGAAACATGAAAATCACTTATAAAGTTGAAAGATTTTATTCAGATAAGCAGACTTTTACGTTGTATTTAATTGATTCGTCAGAATCCTGTTCTATTTTCTACTGTAGTAGAGAGTGAACTTTAAGGTTCATTTAAATACCATCAAGATAAGCTAAGCTTTCATAGAAATTTGAATATAATACTGTTCTTAAAAATGCCTAGTAAGCTGTTATATTAACTGATACATGTTTTTAAATATCATTGTTTTAATATTATTATTTAAAAATTTATGTAGTTGCTAGGACGGTATTGTAAAACTAAAAGACAAAAGATGTTTCATGACTGTGAAAAGTTTGAATCTTTCAGCATTTGAAATATATATTATTTTAAGAAAATATGTTACTTTAGATAGCATAGCCTCTATCCAGTTGGTCTGAGAGTACTTGAAATTAAACCTTCTGCTTTGCTTATAGTCAGTATATTGCTGAGAAGCTTTTGAGCTTTTTAAAAGAAAAACTTAGGGTGATAGTCCAGCACATGGAGTGGAGAAAAGGTAGGCTTGCTGGATGCTGGGGTTCAGAGGAGGTGCTGTTGGCCGAAATAGTTCTGGGTCTGGTCTTCAGTCCTTCCAATCTAGAGAAGGCTTCCACGTTATGGGCCCTAAACAAACACATTTGGGTTCTCAGATTCTTCTAGTCTGTGCACTGGTGCTCTTTCTCCCTATCCAGGCTTCTTGGGTCACCACAGTGTTGGATATCTTTGGTGAACTTGGAATTATATCTGAGTTAGAGTGACTGTAAGAGAGGGGCCTTTCAACAATTGTAGGATCATCTCTTTTTTAAAAAAATATTTTATTTATTATTTATTTTTAGAGAGAGGGTAAGGAAGGTGGAAAGAGAGGGAGAGAAACATCGATGTGCAAGAGAGATTTGATCAGTTGCCTCTCACATGCCCCCAACCTGGGACCTAGCCCACAATCCAGGCATGTGCCCTGGCCAGGAATCAAACCGTCATCCTCTCGGTTTGCGGGCTGGTGCCCAATCCACTGAGCCACACCAGCATCAAAGCTGTAGGCTCAGCTTGCCAGGAGCTGTCTGTCTGTCTCTTGTAATCAATATAGCTAGCCCTGACTCCGTCTTCTTTAGACTCACCCAGATGGCCTCTTCCATCATTAATTTGGGGTCTTCTTTCCCTTTTGCTGAATAGTACTCTGTCTCCTTCTAGGTTGTGGGGTGTGTTTTTTTTTTAACTTGTTTTTTTTTGTTTTTGGTTTTTTTTAAAGACTTACCGATGTATTAAAACTGGTCACTATGGAGTTTTTCTTGCTTGGGAGGTCTCTAGTCGCTTTTACGTGACTTTGATCCTTTACTCTTGGTTTTCAGGTTCAGGTCTGAGAAAGCAGCCTTATTTTTCTTATTTTCATGTGCTTGTACTTGTTGGGATCAGGAGGAGGGAAGGTTCCTCTTCCTTGGAACTCCCAGGTACCAGCATGAAATCTGGTAGAGGGAGGAAGGTGAGCTCTCTAGAGCTTGAGCAGTCAGTGGGGCATTTCGCCAGGCTATTGCCACATTCTTTCACTGCCTTTGTTGAGTGCCTGCTATGTTCCACACACAACTGAATTTTAAGGGTATAATGGTAAACGAGGCAGACTTGGCCTCTGCTTTCATAGAGAAAGATTAATTAAGTCATCCCGCTATATATGATTACAAACTATGGTAGGTTCTCCAAAGGAGGAGAACATGAGACAGCACAGGGACCAGACTCAGGGTATAGAGTTGGGAACAGTTTCCCTGAGAAGTAACTTGGAGGAAACAAAGCATTTAGGACGGTGGAGGGCCATGTTTGAGGAGGAGAAAGGACTGTGTGTGAGGCTGTAAGTTGCTTGAGAAAGCTCTTCTAGATTCTAGAGCTGCACTACTACAGTAGTAGACTTGCTCTGTGTGGCCGTTGAATTAAAATTGAATAAAATTTAAGTTCAGTTCCTCATTTGCACTAGCCACATTTTTAAGTGCTCAGTAGCTACATATAGCCAGTGGCTACTATATTAGACAACATAGACATAGACCATTTCCATCATTGCAGAAAGTTCTGTTGGACTCTACTGCTCTAAAGTATTTGAGCTTTGTCCTAGGAGTAACACAAGTACTTTGTGGAGAGGATGATGAGTCATTGTTTCCTAAGTGGCCTTCCCTTCCCGAAGTTCCCCCATGAGCAGTCAAATGGAATGTGGTGCTGAAATTCTTGTTGACAGTCTTGCACATCAAATGTTGGGAACTCACCAGCTCTTCTCTCTCTCTTCTGCCTGCAGTGTTGGAGAGCTGGCTGGACTACACTGGGGAACTGGAGCCCCCGCAGCCGCTGGCCAGGCTTCCTCAGCTCAAGCATTGCATTAAGCAGCTGCTGACGGACCTGGGCAAGGTACAGCAGATTGCGCTCTGCTGCTCAACATGAATCTGGGCACCAAAACTAAAGGGGGCACAATCCCGGGGTGCCTGCAAGGAGGAACTTTGCATTTTTAAATAAATAAACCTAGCATGCCGAATGCACGTGACACCGACTGACTTCAGGGATCTGGGCAGAGGGGGTGTGATGGACATTGGACAAAGAGGCCATTTTGGCTGCCGGAGGGCAGGGCACTCTGATCTCAGAGCCTACCAAGAAGGTAGCAAATAAGACTCTTGGGATTCCCTTCTTCTGTGCACATTGTTGGATGGAGAGTGAGTCTTTTTGCACAAACTTCACTTGAAATCGTGCCACTGATGATAAATGGAATGAGAGCCAAAAAAGTTTCGTCGGAAACAGTTGTAAATTCAACTTGCAGCTTATTTAATTGACTTTTCTGTCAGGTTGGGGTACATGCCAAGCCTTCTGGTTTCTGCCTGGCATGGATTTAGGCAGCAGGCATCATTTTCATTTTTCCAGCTTCATGGGAATGTCGTGACTTCATCATTCTGTGGAGATTGGGAAGGAGCAGAGGCCTGGGCTGCTCTGCCTCTCTGTAGGACTCTTCACTTTTCTCACCACACCCTTGCATGACTTCATGGTACCGGGGACAAGTTTTGTATGCTTTCACGCCAGAGTTGGGTGGGTTATGTCTTTTATAGCAGAGCCCATTCAACCTGTGGAGGAACTAGAATGTCACTGTACTATGAATCTAGGAAGAATTCCAAACTGAAGCAGGCAGGGTCTGGAACCCAAAGGACAGCATTTCTACCCACTTCTTAATATTGACAGCTTCCCTGTTTTATTTGATGTCCAAAAAGTGTTTCCCAAAATTTTGAACTTTTTCACTCAAAAGATTTGTTACAAAGAATGTGGTTTGGGGAATTACCTTATTTTATATTGTTGTAAACAAACTTCAGATTTTAAGTGTCGCTTTCCTCCTTTCCTGAAGGGTGTATGTTCAGTAGTGGCATTTTCAGATTTGTTTTAATATACTTTAACACTTTAAATTTCCTGTTTGTATTATTTTGTGAGATCAAGGTGATGCTGCTGCTTAAGGTCTAGGTACAATCTGTACCTTTTGAGACAATATCTGTTACTCTTACAGGTTACGGTTCCACGTGTAATTACTATATTGTTGTTTTTCCTTACTAGGCAAAGTTAAAGAAAATGTTTCATGTTTTGAGGAGTGACCCGTTTCACAGTTTAGTTTTCTTATCACTAAAGGCAAAAAGCAAAGCACAGTTGTCCATTAACACTCACAAGTTAATTATGGGTTTATGAATCTGTAATGTTATATGCTGCATATATTTACTATGTAAACGTGAAGTAGCCAATATCTCAATAGCAACGACAGTTATCTCCTGTGATCTGTGGAATGGTTAGGCTTTAAGGCACAGGTCATTGTCATGAAGGCCTCTGTACCAAGATCTGTTTCAGGGAATGCTGTCCAGTGACTTTTTTCACCATGTGACATAAAATGAATTTAGGACAAGTTGACCTGCTGTAGCTTACCCATCAGAAGGAATACATGTAGGAGCTATGACATTTGTAATAAAAGCTGACACAATTCCTCTCTACAAGAGGCTGTTTCCCATTGCTAACGTTGGCGTTTCTGGTATGGGAAGAAACGCTCAAGGAGTGTGCATAGCATCTGTTTTGCATAATTTATCAGACAGCCACATTATGAGAACTGTGTGATGCTTGTCTGAAAAGGGAAGAGACAGGATGGTTTTCTGTAGCCACAACTGTGAGGTATGACAACTTGTATTATTAGATTACTGACTCCCCCCCCCCCCCCCCCCCGCCCCGAAAATAAGTTTGAGCGTCACATCCTGGGAAGCTGTAGTTTAAGGTAGCCAATCTCATGTCTTTTTCAAAGATGGAATCAGAAACTGAACTACCATAGTTTTGTCCGTTAATTGAAGAAATAATTCCATTTCATTCATTGTGACTTTTGTCCTTAGGGAAGCAGGGATGACTCCAAGTTCTGATAACCTCAGTGTGCTTCCCTAATTTAAAGCCATGTTGAGGGGCTCCATCCTCATTCCTGGGCCAAGTTGAATAAACCCCAATTTGGAGCACTGGAAACTGTTATTTGCAAATATTACTGTTACTATTTAGAAATCTGTACACTACCTAAGTTTTGAGTAAAACTATCCACCTTTAAAAAATTGCCTTGACAAAAACAGTTCTGGTTTGACTAATCATTTTGTTTCTTTTAAGTGATAGAGTATATGTAAGGTGGACCCTTGATGAGCCAACATTGCACTGTGGATACATATCTATGTTTACGCGCTATTAGAACAGAAGGCGCTGTATATAGAAATGTTGCTTTGAAGCAATATTTGCAAAACATGCAAACTTCTGTATCTGTATTTGGAAAAAATAAAAGGTTTTTGTTGCTATGTTTTGTCATGTTATTGAATTATAAAATTCTCTATTAACATACATTTAATTTTCTGTAAACATTACCTTTTAAAGCAGTGGTCCCCAACTTTAGTGGCACCAGGGAGCTGTTTCTTGGAAGAAGGCAGGGGTGGGGTGCAGACAGAAGGGGGAGTTCGGGTGAGCTTTGCCTTCCTTGCAGGCTGTGGATGGGGCGGCGGTGGGGGGGGGCTAGTTTCCCTTACTTGCCACTGTGGGTTGGGGACCCCTGTTTTAAAGGACATCTGCTTTTACATTCTAAACAGACTTATCTTCTCCAGGGAGACAGATACAAGTTCAAGATCCTAAATCCCAAGAATTCAAGTGCTAAACACTTGAATTCATTTAAGTCTGTAATACTCAAAAGTAAAATGTCCCACACCATCCTTTGGCCAGTCTGGCTCATGTTTTGTGGTGTGAACTGCAGGCTTATTCAATTTCGATTATTGAAAGCAGTGCAAGGAAGACAGGTTTGGACTTCCTGGTAAGAGATGGCACCCACTGCATTTAGGACCCTTCTCAGAGCAGTTGAAACTGCCAGTAGATTCCAATTAGCTCTTTCCTGGTTGGGCTGAAGATTCAAGGAATAGGTTTTATTTTTAATTTTAGAGAGAAGGGAACATAGATTTGTTGCTCTACTTACACATTCATTGGTTGATTTTTTTAAAAAAATGTTTATTGGCCTTGGCTAGTGTAGCTGAGTGTATTGAGCACTGGCCTGCAAGCTAAAAGGTCACTGATTCAATTCCGTTGGGGCACATGCCTGTTTTGCAGGTTCCGGTCCCCATTTGGGGTCAGACAAGAGGCAACTACTCAATGTTTCTCTCCCTCTCTTCTCTCTGAAAATAAACTATTTAAAAAAAATGTTTATTGATTTGAGAGGGAGAATCATCTATGGGTTGCTTCCCATACTTATCTAGACACGGGATCAAAGCAGGAACCTAGGTATGTGCCCTGGCTGGGAATCAAATGCCCAGCCTTTGGGTGTAGGGGACATTTTTCCAACCGACTGATTGGTTGATTCTTATAGGTGCCCTGACTGGGGATGGAACCCACAACCTTGGCTATCTGGAAGACACTCTGAGCTACCTGGCCATGGCAAGGCTTTAAATTTCATAGCAGAGCTTCCCTATTTCCAAATTCCTTCTTTTATAACTAATTATGCTTATTTAAAAAAAAAAAAAAAAAGGCAGCTGATCAAAATGTGTAGCTCAAGGAGAAAAAAAAAAAAAAGCATAGCTCCAGCAATATAAATAATCCATTAGTGGCCCTGACTGGTGTAGCTCAGTGAGTTGGGCATCATCCTGCAAACTAAAAGGCTGCAGGTTCAATTCCCAGTCAGGGCACATGCCTGGGTTGTGGCTGTCCCAGGTTGGGGCCTGCAAAGCAGCCAATTTCTCTCACATCGATGTTCTCCCCCTCTCTCAAAAATAAATTCCATTAATTGACACCCGTTCTGCTTAAATCCTCCTAGAAGCCTAAAATTTGGCAAGGAAGGTGAGTCTGAAGGCTTAAACCAGAGCTAAAAAGTGACTAGCCTATCTCTGTAAGTAGCTACACTGAAACTTACTAAAACAGTCCAATGGTTTGGGCCCTTTGGGACTCCATGCCCAAGGGCAGGCTAGTGGAGCAAGTTCGTGGCAGTGTTTGTATAGAGGTAGCTATTTGCCTGCAAGGGGCTACAACCATCTACCTTCAATGGAAGACATGTCATCATTTTTTTCAGGTAGAAAAGCTCAGATTCTAGCTAGTGAGAGGTAGGGGCTAATACAGAACCCTCATTAAAGCCTCCAACTAAACAAAGAACGTCGAAGTGGGGTCCCAGGAAACATGCAGGAAAGAAAATTTCCCAGATGTGGCGAATACTGAGGCCTGGCCAATAGGTAATGATCCCACAAAAGCCAACGAAGGCCAAGTGATTAGGAAACAAAAGCTTTATTCTCATGGGCTCCCAACTTGGGTTCGCCACAAGCCAGAAAGAGGGTTGGAAATACGCTCGGGAAAATAAACCCAATAAAGAACGAACAGAAGGACAACAGACTACACAAGCTGCCAAAGCTCGTTTTTCATTCATGCGGAGTGAGGAGCCAGGCTCAGGCCCCTGGGCCCGATCATGGCTCCTTCCACTCCAGAGGGCACCCGGACCACGCCGCCCGCAGCTCAGCCGGTGATGCGAACATCGGTGCGCCGGCGAAGACGCCGGGCCCGCAGCGCCTCAGGCATGATGGCGAGCAGCTGCTCTTGCACCAGCATCTCCACGATCTGCTCCTTCGTGCGGATGTCGGGTCGCAGCCACTGGCGAGAGAGCTCCCGCAGCTGCCGGAATGCCTCTCGCGGGCCCGCCGCGTCCTGGTAGCGGAACTGTCGGAAACGCTGACGGAACGTCTCCGGGCCAGGCCGGGAGCCGCCAGGGCCAGACGGGGAACGCAGAGCGGCCTCAGCAAGCTGCGCGGACCCCGAGGATGTGGGCTCGAGGGGCAGCTCCTGGGCCGCGGAGGCAGCCGCGGGAGGCGGAGAAATCACTTCGGGGACAGAGGCGTTGGGGCTGGAGGGTTCGGCGGCTGGCGTTGGCGCCTCAGAAGTCGACGAGGAACCCTCAGGGTTACGCTGCGCATCTGGGCTCCTACCGGCTCCCTCCTCTTTCTCCCGCGGCAGCGCGGAACTCCCAATGGCCGCCAAGCCCGGGTCGGTCGCCGCCATGACTCCGGCTCTGGACGTCACTCTTTGTCCTGCCGTTGTGGGTTCAGCACTGCGTCTGCGTCGGGGCGGAGTGAGAAAGAAAACGTTTTCCGCTAAAGGGGAGGGCCGGCGCAACCAGGAGGGAGGCGGACACGGCAGGGAAGGAGAGCACCCTAAACTCACCGACAGCAGCGAAACGCCTCAGGCTGACGAAAACGGAAGAGTCCGGGGCCGTCTCTAAGATGAGCTCAGCGCGCAAGCGCAGGAAAAACGAGTCCCAGCTACAGGAAGCGGCGCCCCCTTGCGTTCTCGAGTCGCGTCAGGAGGTGAGAGCGACCGCGCAGTCCGGGGCCCGTCTAAACGTGCAATGGCTTCCTTGGGACGGTGGTCTCTCCAAGCACCACTTCGAGCGGGAGTCCATATTGGTGGATGGGGATGAGTCGGAGAAGGAGCCGGAGCCCAGAGAGGTTCCTGTCTGCCATGGTCGCTTCACATCGAAGGTGACCGGTGCCAGCCCGCTCCGGTTTGCGCGTCTGCCCTCTAGATACTGATGAGGATGTTGGCGAGTGCCGGGCGCGCGGGGGCTGACGCCCGACCCCTGCCCTCGGCGGGACAGCTGACCGGTGGGCAGGCTGACGCGGAAGCAGGGCTGGACTGAAGAAAGTTCTTAGAGAATATAACGTGTGTAAGATCCTCAGCACAATAAAACTGGCCCTTCCCATGCCACAAAGTAACTTTTTGCCATTATTAGGCCTTGCGTGTCCTCTGAAACCAAGGGACAGGTGATTCTGTGGGTTGGGCTTTAACTTTAGGATTAATAGATACACTAAATGTGTTGCTCGGTATGGTGGTCACTAGCACATGTGCTTACCAAGCCCCTTGAAAGGTGACTAGTTGGCATTCTGAGGTACTGTAATATAAAATGCACAAGGACTTAGTGTGAAAAAATAAGGCAAAGTATCTCAACTGTTCATATTATATTGGAATGATAATAGTGTGCATATTTGGGTCAAATAAAATACGATTGAACAATTTTGGAACCAGAAAAGTAAGTGTTCGTGCTGCCTGACCCTGCCAGAATCAGTAAATAGAGACAAGGATTGAATTGTGCTTTATTCATAAAGCACACCTATTCATAGGTGCCTTATTCAGATGCTGGCAATAGGTCATAACATTTCATCTCAAGCCAACCTTTTTATTAGGAGAAGAAAGGGTAGGTAAAAGGGGTTTGGAAAAAAGGTTAATTGGTTAACTGTTGTAGTCAGAGTATTTTTTTTTTATCTGTTGATCAATTTTTTTATCTGCTTCATTGACATTCCCTCCCTGGAGCACATTGGCTCAGATACCATCTAGTCCCTTGCAGACCCCCTGGACACAAAGGTTGAATTGCTTGTCCAGCTCCTGGAGTCATGTAAGTCCTTAGTTCCAGTTCTTGAAATAATAGCTTTCCACATGCATTAATCACTTAAGCTTATTAACTATGGCCGAAGCTAAAATCTTTACCTCCTGACTTCCCCTATCAATTTCACGTGCTTCACTTTACAGTACTTTTTAAATGTGGCTACTAGAGAGTTTTAAATTACATACATGGTTTACATTATTTTTTTTAATTGAATGGCACTGTGGAATGAATCCCCATAGCAGACTTTATTTGCCTTAGGCCAGAGTTGTTGAGGGGATTAACCCAGTAAAGCCCTGGGAAAGAAAGGCCTTTTAAAATGTTTGCTGTTGTCTTCATTAGATAAGTTGTTTGCTACCTCTGAGTTAGTCACTTCCTAGTCTGTCACTTAAGCCTATCAAGTAAGGCTAAAATCTTTAACCCTTGAGTTCTCCTATCATTCCCCCTTGTTAGTTTTTAATTATCTTATTTCTATAAGATTAGTTTACAAACTAGAACAACAAAAGATACCTTAGTGGGGTGTTACAATTCCTCAAAACAGTGTTAGTGCAGTTGACAGTATTTGCACATTTTCCAACTAGGGCCACATTAGCATATTTAAAGAAAACATTTCCCTGCCCTTTAGAATTACCACAGGTCCCCAATGATCTTTCCAGGGTAGTACAAACACCTATAAGACATATAAGTTTGTTTGATGTAGGTTCCAGTCTACTTTTCTTCCAGTTGGCTTTCTGGGGATCCTGTCTTCCAAGTCTTGAGTAGCATCTTATATCCAGGCTCAAAGGAATGTGGGGGAGAGGTTCCTAATACAATTAATCGCAACTAAGGTCTGACTTAAATGTTGTACATAGTTGTTTACCTTCACTTCTTGATCTACATACATATCTCCCATCCCAATCATAACCTGAAATAGTCACCTATACACAATTTCATAAAGACTCACTTGAATCCCATTTCAAGGAGCCACCCTTATCCTGAGCAGGGCAATAGGTAATACTTGATCCCAGTGGAGACTGAGTTTCTTGACATAGTTTAGCTACAGTTTCTTCAAGGTGTGATTCATTTCCTCTGCCTTCCCAGATGCCTGAGGTCTCCATGCCATTTGGAGTCTCCACTCCTAAAAATTTACTAACCTTCCATGTAATTTCTGAAACATAAGCATGTCCATTAGTGCTCTGGATGCTGGCAGGTAGGCCAAAGCAAGGAATTATTTCCTTCAGTAACTTTCATTACCTCAGGAGATTTCTCAGTTCTAGTAGGCTAGACCTCTACCCATCCTGAAAAGGTATCAACAGAGACTAACAAATATTTCCATCCTTGGACCCTTGGTGTCTGGGTAGAGTCTGTTTGCCAATTTTCAAATGGGCACTGCCCTTGGTATTGTTTCCCTTTCTTTTTTCCTGATGGGGATCAGTCTTCTGGCACATGTGGCTTTAGAAATTCCAGGATCTGTGAGCCATGGTTTAATATAGATGGTTCAAACCCCCAGCTCTTAGCTTTCTCCAAGTCTGTGGTTGAGTACTCAGGGTCAAATTGTGACTAGGCTAGAAATGGTACAAAAGGCATTATAAATGTTCTTTCACTGCTTGGTCACCCAGATTATTTCCTCTAGCCACTTCAGTGTCCTCTTTATGATGCTCCAGGCAGTGCATAACTGCCACCTGTAAAGTTACCTGGACAGCTTCTAATAATTATAAGATTTCTGCCGCATGCTTTATTTCCTTTTTATTGGAGGTTAATAGTCTTCTTTCCTTCCAGAGCGAACCATGTGCATGAAAAATGAGGGTAGCGTACCTTGAGTCGGTATACATGTTCACTCTCATTTTGTGTGACAATTGCAGTGCCTTTGTCAATGCAGTCAGTTCAGCTTTTTGAGCAGAGGTTCCTAGTGGTAAGGACTTGGTCTTTACTATTCCTTCAGGAGCCACAGCTGCACATCCAGCTTTTCTGTTTCCTTTGTCCATGTAACTGCTTCCATCAGCATGTACAGTCCAGTCTGTGTCTTCTAGAGGATGGTCCTATAAATCAATTCTGCTAGAATAAACTTTATCAGTCATCTCAGCACAGGCATGCATTAGCGCAGCCAAGTCAGACTCTGGGAGAAGGGAGGCAAGATTTAATTTACACTTTTGAATTGCTGGATACCTGCCCATTCTTCCAGCAGTGAGCCACACATCTTTTTGCTCCAGCAGGTTCAACACTTGGTGGGGTGCATAAATGATTTTAGACCGTCCCCAAGAAAACTTTTTCAGCTTCCTATAAAAGCTCTCAGGTGGCTGCCACAGCTCTCAAGCAGGCTGGCTGCACTAGACAGTGGAATCTAGTTTCTTTGACAAGCCTAGGAAGACTCCTTCTGCTAGGTTCAACAGGAACCCAAGAAACCATACTGCTTTTTGGCAAATCTGGGCCTCCTGGGCTGATAGTTTATAGCCACAAGATGCCAAATGGTTCAAGGTAATAGTTAAGTAATGCATCTACATATTATAACAAGTTCTTCCTCCTATTTTTAGAACCTTTTTAAAAGTCCTGGCTCTGGGTCTTCCCAAAAGTTCTTGAGCCCTTGTGGTAAGACTGCCCAGCAGTACTGAGTCTTGACCTGAGACTCCAGGTCCTGCCATTCAAAAGCAAACAATGGTTGAGAGTCTTGGTCAACCAGAATGCAAAAGAAAGCATCTTTTAAGTCCAATACTGAGTACCAGAGACTGTCCACAGGTATACTGTTCAGTACAATGCCATTTATGGCCCTTAAGTCTTGTATTGTACAGGGAGCAGAAGGGCCAAACGAGTCAATATTCCTAAAACTTCTGAATTATTGAGCATATTTCTATGGGGGGTCTTCTTTTGCAAGAGATATTGCCTCTTATTGGTAGTCCCTTCCCCTGGTTTGTGGTCAACTTTAACAGGGGAGGCTTGCTTAGCCTTCCCTGGCCTTCCAGCAGCCCACACAATGGGATTTACCTGATTCTCAATTTTCTCTGGGCAGGATTACTTTCCTCCTTCCCAACAGTTTCATAAGAAACTGCTGGGTGTGCTCTGGATGGACCTATAGGTGGAGCTGTTGTCCTTCTGGATAGAAAGTGATTTGGGCATGGAGTTTTGACAACAAATCCCTTCCCAGAACACCATATCTCCCACAGTACAGTCTAATGGCTTCAAGAAAAATTGGCCCTGCCTGGTGTGGCTCAGTGGATTGAGCACCAGCCTGCAAATCAAAGGGTCGCTGGTTTGGTTCCCAGTCAGGGCACATGCCTGGGTTGCAGTCCAGGTCCCCAGTAGGGGGAGCGCGAGAGGCAACCACATGTGGATGTTTCTCTCCCTCTCTTTTGCCCTCCCTTCCCCTCTCTCTAAAAATAAATAAATAAAATCTCTAAAAAAATTATTAAAGAAAAAGAAAAATTGGCTTTCAGGACTTCCAGAAATTCCAGTTACAATTCAGCTAGAGGGCTATTGACCATGCAATATGTTGCTCTGGTATCAGTCGAAAGGTCTACAGTTCGTCCCCTAGACTGATAATTTTACCTGATTTCTCAGACTCTGACCTCCTTTTCCCTCTCTTGGGGCATTCATTTTTCCAGTGCCCTTTTTCCTTGCAACATGATTGCCCTGCCCCCGAAGGAGCTTTTCCTCCACCAAATTTGGTTCCCTGACAGGTTTGTGATGGAGAAAGTTGTTCAGGTTCATCACCTTTGGCTCCCTCCGCTGAGTAAGGAGGAGAATCCCCCAGGGTTGGAGGGGCCATGGGAGCCCGGGCCATGGGAACCCTGACCATGCTCACAGCAGCCTTCCTCATCTTGATCTCTCTCTTCTGAGCTTCTGCTGTCTGCCACAGGCATATTCTTTCCCCCCCAACCCCCC